TCCTGTATTTTCTTTCTCCATATTCTACTTCGAGCAGGGAAAGCAGACGCAGCAAAACACTTAGAAACTGGGTTGTAAAGGAAGTATACTTGGTTGTCTAACCATCTGTAGCTTGAGATGTTCTTCATTTCTATACCTTTACAGTAGGCTTAAATATTCTAAAGAGAACTGCTGGCAGTTATTCTAAAGAGAATCCTAATTATCTCTGAAGAGACTGTTCACATAAGTGTTAGGCATGTATCATTTATTTGGATTACGCAACATTTCCTGAAGTTTCCCTAAGTATAGAAGTCATTGTTCAACAGACCCAAAATTACCACATCAGACAGCAATGGCATATACCAGGACTGAGGAAAACGTTGTGATCGAGACAGAAAAACTGAGTCCAGAAAAAGGTAATGTATGAAATAAAGGACATCCCATTCTAACAGCAGCTCACCTGTGCCTGCAAAGCAGCCTTCACATAAAATGCTTCTCAGGTAATGTCCATTTACTTACACCCACAAGTAGGAATCCACCTAGACAGCACTGAATGTAGGAGTCTGGTGCAAAGGTGACAAAATCAGAGCAATAATCACTATGATGTTTTTAAAAGATGAATGAAATAGTTAAGGGAAGAGCAGTAGAGAAAAGAAGCAGCAACAAAATCTTCCTCCAAACAGGCTACTGTCAGCTTTGAGAAAGGTTAGCGAAAAAGCAGCCAGGTTAACAAGTTATTACCTAAGAGTCTGACAGCAGGAAGAGCTAAGAATGGAGCTCAAAAGGGTGCAAGGGGCACAAACAGAAACCTGCTGAAAACAGACATTTTGTCAACAGCCTGATTCTGACCCCACCTGCATACTTAGTTCGAGATGCTCAGGTTGTTCTTTTAACTGTGGTAGGTTTCCTTGATTACTGCTACTTATTTTTTAACATCTGAAAAATCACGCTGTTCAGCTAAACATCTAAGTACAATCTCTAGCCAAACAAACTTACAACTGTGATTTGACATGCAAAAGAAGGTATAAATGCATTAAAAAGAAAGACACTCCCACCTCAGTAAGTTCATGCATTGTTAATACATTTCTATTGGTTGGCTATTTCGTTGTTATATTTGAAGCAGGACTTCTCACATATCTCAAAGGTAAGACAGCCAAAATTAATCCTGAATGAGATAATACATATGAAGATAGAATGGAATGGAATAGAATAGAATAGAGTGAACAGAACAGAATAGTTTAATTGGAGGGGACCTACAACCATCATCAAATCAACTGCCTGACCCCTTCATGGCTGACCAAAAGTTAATGCACGTTATTAAGTGTATTGTCAAAATGCCTCTCAAACAGTGACAGGCACAGGGCATTGAGCACCTCTCGACGAAGCCTGTTCCAGTGTTCAACCATCCTCTTGGGAAAGAAATGCTTCTTAATGTCAAGTCTGAACCTCCTCTGATGCAACTTTGAACAATTCCCACGCATCCTATAACTGGATACCAGGGAGAGCTCAGCACCTCCCTCTCCGCTTCCCCTCCTAAAGAAGCTGCAGAGCGCAGAGGTCCGTGAGTCAGTGGTCATGACACAAGAGCTATCTTCCAGGGATTATGGAGGTATTTATGACTGTCAAAAAATTAAGTGTAGACTGATACAACATAAATGGTAGATGAAGTTTTCTCAGTACCTGGATGAAAGCAACGAAGATACGATTTATCTGCAACAACTGGGAAAGGAAAATCCTGGGTAATGGGCAAAAAAAATGTAAACAGAATACTAAAGCTTTTGGAACAAGTTGGTGTCTAATGTGTGAAGCCAGGTGACTTCATAGTCCTATGACCTCATAAACCTATGGAACCAGCTAGGTTCTAGTTAGGTGGGAGTGTTGATCTACTGGCGGGTAGGAAGGCTCTCCAGAGGGACCTGGACAGGCTGGATTGATGGGCTGAGACCAATGGCATGAGGTTCAACAAGAACAAGTGCCGAGTCCCACTCTTCAGCCACAAAAAACCCATGCAGCGTTACAGGCTGGGGAACAGTGGCTGGAAAGTGTCAAGCAGAAAAAGACCTGGGGGTCCTGGTTGACAGCCAGCTGAACATGAGCCAGCAGTATGCCCAGGTAGCCAAGAAGACCAACAGCATCCTGGCTTGTATCAGAAATAGCGTGGCCAGCAGGACCAGGGAAGTGATCGTCCCCCTGTACTCGGCACTGGTGAGGCTGCACCTCGAGTGCTGTGTTCAGTTTTGGGCCCCTCACTACAAGAAAGACCTTGAGGTGCTGGAGCGAGTCCAGAGAAGGGCAACGAAGGTGGTGAAGGGCCTGGAGCACAAGTCTGATGGGGAGCGGCTGAGGGAGCTGGGGGTGTTTAGCCTGGAGAAAAGGAGGCTGAGGGGAGACCTGATCACTGTCTACAACGACCTGAAAGGAGGGTGGGGGTTGGCCTCTTCTCCCAGGCAGCCAATGACAGGACAAGAGGGAGTAGTCTGAAACTTCACCAGGAGAAGTTCAGGTTAGACATTAGGAGGCATTTCTTCACAGAAGGGGTCGTTAGGCATTGGAATGGGCTGCCCAGGGAGGTGGTGCAGTCCCCATCCCTGGAGGTGTTTAAGAAAAGACTGAACGTGGTACTCAGTGCCATGGTCTAGCTGACATGGTGGTGTTAGGGCAAAGGTCGGACTCGATGATCCCAGAGGTCTCTTCCAACCAAATCGATTCTGTGTTCTGTCTTGCTGTCATCTGCATTGCTGTCAGCAGGGCTGTAGCTGCAAGGCACTGCACCAAAGCAGGCACTCTCAGAAATGAGACTGCTGGCAGCTCCGCATGCTCTGGACGTGCAGTAGCTCTGCGTGAAACCCACTCAGGTAAAGCCGGGCTGGTTCACTGAAGTTGTACTCCATCATAACACAGGTACATGAGATGAGCTGATCAGAGTATCCATGGTCAAGATCCAAACCAGCAACTTTTTCTGGACATGAATAAACCAATACTGAGAAAAATCTGAACTGCCTGCGACCAAACTACAAAATCCATCCAAGGATAATAAATGCTAATGAACACTACTGGAGGCCCCAGTTTACATTTGGTACAGTCCTTAACTTGAAGAAATCATAATCTAAATGAAAGAGACAAACAACAGGTGGGTGGATAGGGACTATTATTAACCCTGTTTCATAAATGGAAAAGAAAAGCACTAAGAGACTCAAAACCTGGTTATAATTTACACCGTATTCTACCTTTGTAATAGACAACAAGTAAATTAGAATCAAGCTATGAAGGGACATAAAAAGTCTCACAAGAAACCAGGGAAATAAACTCAAGTTCCTCTTAGATCTAGTTCATTATCTTAATCGTAAGCCCCTCCTTCATACATGGAGGAGAAACAACACACATGATGCCAGTAAAGAAAATAAAAGAGCACTCTCATAAGCATAATTTTTTTCCTTTATAAGCTGAACCTTATCCCACGTGAATCTTATATTACCAGAAGACAAGTCTCCCAGCTTGCCCAAAAACTCTGTCCCACTGACAACTTATCCAGCACAGTCAAATTTGAGCTCACAAGTACAGGAGAAAGAACTTTTCTTCTTATTCCTGCAATATCCACCCCCCCAAAAACCAGTGAAAACGTAGCTTCGAGTGCCATCTAGAGGAGCGCACTCATCTGTAGAAAATAGTTTTGTTGGTTAAAGATGTAACTTCTCAAAAAGATTTTCAAACTGACCCACCATTCACATATGCTCAGTGCACTGGGAAAAAAATCTGTCTAATGTCGTTCTTGCATGCAGGTATTAATACAGCGCATGGTCGGATATAGTTGTTGGTACAGGATAATAAGGCTGTGTAATGGAGCTAGTGAAAACCCACTGGGGAGGTTCTATTTTGCCAGAAATTTTAATTAGTGAATGGAAATCTCAAAATATTAAGCAGCCTCTAGAAAAGAAATAGAGGAGGAGAGCATTGATTTGTAATGGTGGATAAAACAATCCAAGGAATCTTGGAAGTGTCAGGAAGAGATAGCTAAGGAGCAGCCTTGAAACCAAAAAGTGGAAAATTGCTTAGGATCATGTCCAAAATACCTCATGGGGAAGGGGCCTTATTTGTATGGGGATTTGTGTGTATTCACAAAGCTCAGAGACAAAGTGCCAGGACAGGGGGTTTGCCCAGCCCTCCTGTGGAGCCACGCTCAGGGCTTTCGCCATGGACTCTCCCGCCTCTGTTGTACATCAGTCCCAAAGCAAAAAGTTCTCTTTGCAACTCCACTTCCAGTGTCAGGCAAAGGCGCTCAGCCCTGGTGAGGTTCCCAGACCCCCAGCCCAGTGTCACTCTCACCACTCCATGGCTGGAGCACATGCCCTGCTTTCCTTTCCTATCACTTCTGAGAGTTACCTAGGGTAGAGCCATCACGCAGTGGTGGATATGGACATATGGCACCAGATGGCTCAGGTTTATGGTCCCTGTGTGATTGCAAAAGAAACAGCAGCCCAGAGACACAACGCTGGTCAGGGCCAGCACCAGGAGAGCCCTAAAAGAGCAAGGAGGCTCTCCAAGCACTGCCCACAGTGCAGCTGGGATGCCTTTGCCACACCAGCGCTCACGCAGCAGCTTTGCCCCGCTCCTCCCATCCTATTTGCTGCATGGGGCCAGCACACAGACATCCAAACATCCCCAGACACTCAGGGGTCCAGCGTATCTGAGCTGGAAGCTGGCCCCAGGATTTAAATCCCAGGCATTTAACTCTGGTGACTAGCCTCAACACTTTAATGGTTAAATATTTCCCTGTACTTCTAATTCCTAAATGCTTTTAAAAAATCTGCCCTCGCTATTGTATATGATTACTTATTTGGCTCAAATCTTACAGGAGTTTATTAAAAATATGCTTAAAACACATGTAAGCAAACACTGTTAATAGAACATTAAGGTTGAAACACATAGCTTCCTAAGATAAAATAGCACAGCAATAATGATCTACGTCTCTGATGTATTAAGATCTGGTTCTATCTTCCACGTTTGCTTTACCATCAGACAGCTTGTCATATAATACTGTATGCATTTCATTAACTCTGGAATGAAGTAATCACACAAAAAAGGAAATGTCACACACTGACTAATGGTTTTGCAGGTAGAGTCAACTATGAGAAGTTCTTGCATCATCAAACAATGTGGACACCACAAGGAAGCGATTTCTCTGACAAAGACATAAAGAAGAAAGCTCCTTGTTTTGCACAAGGAACAAGATTCAAAAATATTTTTTTGTTTCTATTTTAAATATATATTTCAATTCACTTCAGAGTCTGCCTCTCCAGTTACAGTCTTTCTGTCCCTGCACATCGTCCAGATTCACTGCGTATTTGGAATTCCAATCTCGCTCAAAAAGATTTTTTAATTGTTCCTGGATAGGCAGTTGCCTTCTTTGCAGGTTGGTCAAATTCTGTTTGATAATTAGTCCCACGCCAGCTGTATTAATGAAGTAATCTTCTGACCAATTGGAAGTCCCTATGCAATGGAAAAGTAGCTAATTAGAAAACATTCATTTCCCACTGTTCTGTTTGATCTCCATACTTGTCCACATTGCCTAGCTTTGCTGATTTGCTGTACAACTGCAAATCTCATTAGGACCAATGGAGCAGCAAAAATCAGGTCACCTCCTTCTTATTCCAGACCTCAGGTTTTGGAAAGTCAGTATTAACTGCAACCCTGAAGCTTCATAACCTTCTGATTCCTTACAGCGTGTGACAGAGGTGCATGAATCTACTCATTATAAATATGGGAATAGAGTGCAACATTTGGGCATTAAGAGGAGTAAAAGTCAGTGTTTGGTATGGGGTTTTGTGTTTAAAGAAAAAAAATACTTAATGAACTTAATTCTCTGTACTTGTTAAAGGAAAACAAGAGGAGAAACTGGACCCTTGATCAATAAATCCTCAGGAGCTGTTCTGAACTCAGCATGCAATGCCCACTTTTAAAGCAGCAAAGCTGAGAATCCAGCTGTAGACATTGTCTAGGGCTCTCTCCAAAGCTACCACAATTCAGAAAATCAAACACTGTGAAAAAATACGCATTTTATCATTTAGCACTTCTGGTGTTTGCCTTAGCCAGAAAAATCTACTGTCAATTCCAGAAGGTGCTTAGGCATGGAAACCAATTGTCTGCATATCTGTCTTCGAAAGACAAGTCGGTAAGAAACAAGTTCTAGTAAAAGCAATTGGAGTTGCAAGTCCTCAGCCTGTTGGAATATCAGGCTATTTGCTGGTTTGCATTGCTTGGAGGATGAGCTGACTCTAATGACAGAGCCCTTTCACATTCCTTTTTTTGAGGGATCCTAATAAAAGAGTGAAAAATAAACACCATCCTGACTTCCAGGAACTGAGCAGCAATTGACATTGCTGTTTTCTCATTTCCTTTCCTAGAGTTCTGTTCAACAAACAGTGCGTGGAATTAATTCCTCCCAGCAATTTCTTTTTATTAAAGCACGACAACGTTATATACTACAGCGTCAGCTATCACTGCATCATTCTGAGCGCACAGTCTGTGAAATTCCTACTGTGCTTGTCACAGGCTGTGCACTCAGACTTGTCATGCTCTGTTCTGAATGGTTCACAATCATATGAAATAATCTCTTACTGAACCTGACCTACATTATTGTCTCCCCTTCACATCTCTACTTCTTTACCCAGGGCAGACATTCTAATAAAGCCATATACTTTGATATGTTTATCTGCTTTACATGGCGAAATGAGGTCTTCTTTGATATTGCAGCTCATCCTATCTCAGTCTCAGTCCTATAGATCTGAAGATACTGTAAGTATTTGGAATAATGGAATACATACCAATATAGGCTACTTTATCAGTGACCATATATTTGTTGTGATTCATTCTCCCATAAGGAATATTTGTGTGATTCAGAACTGGAACAATGAAGAGTTTCTGGAGGGAGAGAAATTAAAAACATAAATAGAAATACCAGAGTGAGGAACAGACTGCATAATTGGACAAAGAATAGAATAATACAGAAAGAACAGAAGAGAATATTCCACACACTGTTATTAAATGTACCATAAAAGAGATTTTACTTTTATCCAAGAAAACTAACAAATAATACTTCCACTATACATAAAACTGGATAAGCAATTGAGATCAGATAAGGATAATGTCTGCTTCACAATGTTCCATTAGTGCACAGCTATTATCATTACAGGGCAGACAATTAAATGCAGTTTTAGGCAGCTGTTTAATAGAAATAGATCTGCATTTACCACTGATTGCTGCTCTTATTTTGTGCTAGAATGGGCTGATCACAGACATGAGGGGTACTGCAGGCAACGATAATGCCTAACTTTTTGTATTAACTCTTACTAAAATCTAAATTTTTGTTCCTTTTTTTTTTTTTTTTTTTGCTAAAACCCATTCCTCCTTACTTCTGTGACTTCTCTCTATCGTGGTAACTGCATCAAGGTCCATTTGTATAGGCAGTCAGCAGAGCTTTCAATTGTAAAAAACTGATAGTAATTAGACCAGTTTAAGGTATTCCATACAGGAAAAGGTCTATGAGAAGAGCACTAAGTTGCCATATAAACTATTACTGTAATGGTGCTCAGCAAAAGAAACTGGATAATGTCAAAAGTGCTGCAGCTAAACACGTCCTTTGAGATCACTAGTAGCTTGCAATAGATGCTTCCTCAAAGATTGTCTCTTGGGCCTTATTTTCTCAAGGACCTGAAACAGTCACTGCAACAATGGACAACTGGCTTCTTTAAAATCTGGTACTTGCACATGCAACTGGCAGCTTAGACTCAAAAATCAGTGTGGGGCTCATATCCTCAAGCTGTCTTTCCAAAATCAAGTTTCTTATCATACCACGTCAACACTGATGTGAGCATGTGGGTTGTTGAGAGCACGCAGGGACCTCAGATAGTAGAGCATGGCTGGGTCAGAGTGAGTCCAGCAGCTGACCAGAAGCCGGATTCGTACTTGGTAGTTGAAAGCTGCACGTCTTAGAGCATTGTCAATGGCTGGCCAGTATCTAGAGAAAAGTAGGCAGGTGGAAAAAGAGATATTTTTGAAACAGTTCGGCAGAAAGCTGTGACAATAAACTGAGAATACAAGTGGCGCTGTGCACAGATGGGATTTCTGATGTCTAGTAAGAGTAGCACTTGTGCCTTCACTGGAGGTATAAATAAGATTTCTGCCTTTTACCCAGCCAGTCCTTTTCACAGTGTGTTTTGAGACCTCCAGTCTCTGCCAAATTCAGTTGAAATTGATCAAAAATTTTAAAGCTTAGTAAAGTGCATGCATGGTGCCATCATGCTCATTTTCTTAGGAAACTAAAAGTATCAATAGTAACTGCAGTGTAAAGACAGATCATGCAGCATGAAGTAAAAAGGACAGTGCAGAGCCCAGAAGAAAGCCTAAGAGCCATTTTGCAGAATATGGCCATTTCAGGACCCTGGAGACTGTTTCTAGTGTCTGCAGTGGTCCTGTGCTATCAGCCAGCATGGACAGGCTCTATTGCTCCCCATCCCTCCTTGCCCTCTTTAGTATGCCATGTGCCCTCGAGGTTACAAACACAGCTATGCTCTTGTGAACACGGGGATGTCCATTTTCCTGACACTTGTGTTGGCAGTAGCTTAGAGCAAAATTTTTAACATCCTTCGCCCGAAATGCCCATGTAGCATTTTCATTCCGTAGAGCCTAACAAGTGCTGCACAGAGGAAGACAAGCATCTTTAGTACAGACTGCAGGACTGATACAGAGAGAGGTCCGGCACTTGCTTACAGTCCCATGAGCAATGATGAATTAATTTGCCTAAATTATTCCTTTTGGTCTTATGTACAAATGCCGGAATTCTCTAATCCTCCCTTGCATGTCATCCTATCATGATCAACAGGCCCGTCATGTGCTTTCAGGCTCAGGCTGACTTGTAGATCCTGAAAAACTTGGAAAAACATGCTATTTAGAAATGCTGGTTTTGAACAGTTTCCATTTTTAAAATATATCAGTTTCTAGTTGATTAACAGTCGGGCATTAAGACAGCAGCTTTGTTCCCTCTGCCTCAGCTGCTGGAGGAACCTAACCTGAACTAATCAGCCTCAATTCATTGCACTACAGCTGGTTGCTGTGGAGATAGCCTGAGGCCCTACGATGCTTTCCCTAGGCCTTTCAAACTCTTGTTTGCATCTGATCAGGCCCTAGATGTCACAAATTGTGGATTAAGGCTTCAGATGAAGAATGAGGAGTATTAACACACTCATTCCTGAGGGGGAAGAGAGACTTTCGGTGAACCTATTCTTAGCTAAAAGCAGCAGATGAGAAACCCAGAGATTCAACCGTACAACACAGAAACCAAAAATCCTCTCAGATGTTTGATTTATAAAAAATATCCTCCAAGGAGAAGCTGGTCTGAGATTTTGTCTCAAGGACAGTGGAATTATCTGTGTCTATTTATTATCCTACACTCTTCCTGCTAACACACACATGCCCAGCTGAACAACAGAGACTTTACACAGTCACACCACAGGACATGATGCATGGTATATCATTCTGGCTAAATGGCAACCTAGAGCTCACCTTATTCTTTACAATCCATATTGTACATAATTATTTCGCTTGAACTTCTTTCTCAGTCAGATTATTTGGACAACTGGAAAACTCAGAAATATTGTAAGTAGATAATACTCAGAGCACTTGGTTGCATGTAAACTTCCTAATTCAAGCGTATCTAAGAGGATTTGAAGTCTTAGTGGTTGCCCCATGACTGACTAACTTTCTGCGTTACTCAGATTTGACTTGATGTGCAGAGTCTGCATAATTCTGCTGTGACCTTAGGCAGCCCACTGGGACCATGGTCGTGGTCCACCACACACAGTTTGGTCACTCCAGATCACCACTACCACCTTCTCTTTGAGAGCTGCTGCTGCATGCATCCAGCGTGATTCAGGAACTTGGATGTCCTTAGATGGAATTATAAAAACCGGAAAATAAAAGCCCAGAAGTTTCTTTTAGAGACTGTTTCAGCTATCATTGCAAAGGTTGGCAAGGATAGTTAAGAATCACTCTCTAAACTGTGGGTCAAGTACATGAAATAGGCAGCAGAGCCAGAAGTCAAGAGTCTTCAGAAGTAAAGAACAGAAAGAGAGAAACAGGAGCAGAAGAGGGGAGCAAAGCAATATTTTCTCTGAAAAGTCTGATGTCAGATATATTTCTGCTGTTCCCGTTCCTCTCTCTATTCATAAAGTTGCTCTGTTGTATTTTGAAGGGTGCTGTACCTGACTGTCCCTAGTCTGGCACTTCACAGTTTTCTTGCTGTGTGAAGACCAGAGGAGGCTGCTTTAAAATGCTAGTGAAGCGCATGGGCAGTATTGGATACCATCCTTCCTGTCGCATCAGTATTTGCACAGTCCATGAGGTGGTCATGAATGCAGAGCAAAGCCTCAGTTGTCTGCACTCTGAATATTTTAATTGCAGAAGTGGGGGAATAGTATATTTTTCCTTTAAATAGTGCAGTCAACTGATTTGCTTAGAATTAAAATTGTACCTTTCTGGACGAATGAAACGACTGGTAGGGAAATATTCCATAACAGAAACATAGACAAATTTCTGTGCCTCACTGATAATACTAATTATAGCAAAGAGGTCATGAGTGCGACCTTCTGGACAAAATGCTGGAGGAGAAGCCTGTAAAGAAGAAAACACAGACGTCAGTGATTTCATCTTTTTTTTCGGTCAGACTGCGATTCATTTATATTCAGATCTGTTCAGTTTTCATTACTATAGCACAAAGCACTTGAGGTGGGCCACTATCATTCCTCATGCCTTCCATCTCCTGATGGGTCAGATACTTATTGATATATTGAGCCCACAGGTGATTAAAGGAGACCTGCACCCCATTCTTGCCATACTACCTGACAGCCTGAGCTGGGTTGACCCTGGAGGGGCTGGAGCACCTCTCCCATGAAGATAGGCTGAGAGAGTTGGGGTTGTTCAACCTGGAGAAGAGAAGGCTCCAGGGAGACCTTAGAGCAGCCTTCCAGTACCTAAAGGAGGCCTGCAAGAAAGCTGGGGAGGAACTTTTTACAAGGGCATGTAGTGATAGGACAAGGGGCAATGGCTTTAAACTGGAAGAGGGAAGATTTAGATTGGATATTAGGAAGAAATTCTTAACCGTGAGGGTGGTAAGGTATTGAAACAGGTTGCCCAGAGAAGCTGTGGATGCCCCATCCCTGGAAGTATTCAAGGTCAGGTTGGATGGGGCTTTGATTAACCTGGTCTAGTGGAAGGTGTCCCTGCCCATGGCAGGGGGGTTGGAATTAGATAATCTTTAAGGTCCCTTCCAACCAAACTGTTCTATGATGATTCTGTGATTAACCCTTGAGTAGTTCCAGAGAATGAATTATTATCCAACTGGAACACAAGTAACTGAGGACTGCTGAAGAAACTTTTCTGGCCAATGCTTAAACACAGTTTACAGCCTATCTTGTTATTTTAAAACATACTTACAGAAAAATAGGCTTTTGTCAAAATTCCATTGAATTCTGCTTCCAGAGGCCGATGCTTGTTAATGTAGGTAGAATAATTAAGAGGCCAAGGGAATGGGATGGTAGCATTAGCATGTCCAAGATCCCAGTAAGTACTAAATGTTTTCCAGAGGTCTTTGGCCAAGCAGCTGCAGTTGTATATCACAGCACCAAACTCTTTTACCTGCAAAGAGAGCAAATTATGTTGCAGCCCCAGAAAGAGACACCTCCAGGGTTTTCTTTGCTGTTTCTCTGTCCTGGTTTGGCTAAAACAGAAC